TGAGAACAGCTTATAGACGTGGCTTAGAAGGGATATGGGTTTCACGCACACCACTCATTAAATAAAACAAGTTTCAACGGTATGGATGCTCTGATTTATTTATATATTGACGAAATTAGCTATGTTATTATAATTAATGTTCTTTAATTTAAAAAAAAATATTTGATACCTACCTAGTTACATAATGTATGGTATAATTCGGTAATCTACTCTAGTTAGGGTTGCCACCCGTATTTTATTATAAGGTATTGTACGTTATTTCTGGTAATTATACTCTTTACTTTACGCTAACAATAAAGTACAAGAAAATACTTTACTTAATGTGATATGATTACTCGGGTCATTATAGAGATAGATAATTTTACATGAAATATACAAAAAGAGGTTGATATGAATATTTTTTGCGTAAAACAGACAGACTGTATGAATATGTCGGCCTTAGCTAATTCAACATTGCAACATTTTCGTGGCTGTATGGCTTTGTACCATGACCTTTCCCATTGCTGAAAAGAACTACAGATTTTATGTGGGCACAAATTATTGCTAGTTATTTAAGTAGCAACGTAAAATACATTTTTAAGCTTACTAATAAAGTGGAATAAAAAGTACTTTATTTTGGACACAATGTACTTTTTCTCAACCTTTAATATCTAAATGTACTTTATTTCGACAAAAAAAGGCGGCAGTGGTACAACAGATTACTTAATAGTTGTGGTTAGGCTACGTAGCATTTACAACTCTAAAGTACATAAGAAATGGTTATCAACACATTAGTGGAATGGTATTTCAATTTGAGTAGACATGCTAATGTACGTATTTGTCTTTAGTTGACTTTTAATGACTCAGTCGAGACAGATAACATTTTAAATTTAAACTCTCAATTTCGGTGAGCGACGCGGTGAAACCATGACAGCCCTAATGAATATTTCTGAAATGAATAAATTGAGTGGAGAGCTGTACCTATCACGAACCATTATCGAATTCGAATAGTTTGCGAGTCCGAATAGGGTACTGATTTTTAGTTCTCGTTACGTCCAATATAGCTGTTTAAGTATCCATATAAAATTTGACAGTCGAATCGAATCAGTTCGAATTCGATATTGGTCCGTGCTTAGGGTAGGCACAGTGTGGAGATTTCGAAATGTCATAGAATCGTGTTATTGTACAACGGCAGCCTCTGAAGTTTATAAGTAAATACCTCGTGAAAATACCATTAAGGAGTTATAAGCAATATTTGAAAACCTTCGGGCGGCGCGGTCAGAAATAACAAAATAAAATCGTAATAGCCATAGCAATCCTGTTTGGCGATTGACCCCCTGTATGTGGGTGTCCCATAAATGCTGTATTTGAACAAAATACTGAAAACGCCGATTCATAATGTACTTTGTAAGTTGTGATGAAAACAAACAAATCATCCTTTCCATTCGCGGTTTGTTGTACTTCGTGCGCGAGTCCGACTCACACTTGGACGGTTTTTAATATATAAAATGCTCTGGACTATACTATCACTACCGTAAGCTGCTGTGGAATGAGGTCTGGGACAAAAATCGCCTCCCCGTTCGTGCAGCTAAATCTGCATGACAATACGGATCTGCACTCACGCTTAAGGATGCAGGTCTGCACCCCGCAGCGTAGTGCGTAGGCACTGTAAAAATCGCTTAAAAGCAATCCGTGGGCGGATGTTCTTAAATAACGCGAGTAGCGACATCTGTATTTTCTGTACTGAAATTCTGGAGCATAGTGGCGCTACTATGCTGCTTTTAAAGCGTAGCAAGTATTAATGCTTTTAAAGCACAGAACATTTGAGTACGTAGTGCTTCTTGTCAGCTTTGGGCGTTGTGGTGCTTTTGCGAGGAATAGCTTAATTTATGGAAAGTGATAAATATTGGATGTCTTCCGAAATATACATCAGTATACTGGCCAGTGGTAATGGCGTCACGAATCCGACGCCATATTATTGTACTGGTATGCTACCTTATTACTACCGGACAAACGAATATGACGTATGACCGAGCGTGCGTGAGAAACATTCTATTTCTTTTTTATTTAAACAACAATAACTGGACCCGAACAAAAAGAATTCCTTATAGTTGATGAGGTGAATAATACATCTTCTCTATTCGCACTGTTTTTAATATTTCGTCGATTTAGGACGTCCGCGTCAGTGCACTGGCCAGTATATTTCCGAACAATTCACCAGTATAACGTCGATTCATGACGTCATTAGCACTGGCCAGTATACTGGTATATATTACGGAATACACCCATTGTGTACTACTAGTGTACTGGATTTTTTTTTGTAGGTAGGTACTAACTTTTTATTCTAGATACATAGATAAATTTGGCTTCCCATTAATAGGCTAGTTGACCCTTTTTGGAAAAAGGTTTTAAATGGTTAATAAATGTTCTATTAGACCGAAAAAAAATGTATTGTATTTTTTTTTAAACCTAGAAAGCTACAAATCTTTAATTTTAAAATAGACTTTTCATGGACATACAAAAACGCTGTCGGCCATTTTAGTCTATAGATTGTCTATGCTATGACGTGAACTGTGGTAAGCAAAAACTCGTAAACACGTAGAAAATTACTTTTAACTGAGTTTATAATAAAAAAAAACATGATTTCTAATAAATACCACGAAAAATAAAGTAATTATCATTACTGTATTGTACGAGAATATAAAAACACATCCTTGAAGACTCCAGGAAAGTTGTGGATTAAAGTGCCGAAAGAAATTAACCTACGCAACTTTATTACACTTATTCATATGTTGTATCAGTTTTATGTTTATTACTACATTGTAATACTAAATGCACGGTACTTACATAGATGCCTTGTCGTTTCTCTGCTCCGCAGAGCAGAAATCGGGGTTTAGTGCAACAAATTCACCAACCATCAATGCGTCAATTCTTGGCAGATTTGTGCTTTCTGCTTTCACAAAGCCGGCATCCATAATTTGTTTAGTCAAAAAAAACTAAGTTTACTGTTTTTTTCCTTTCCTAAAGTTAAAAGTGTTTTAAGATAAATTTAGTCAGACGAAAGAATCCACCTACAGTAACACGCGAATGACATTTAGTTGTTTACCACAAGAGACGTCAAAATCATGGCGAATGTGGCGAACAGCGTTTTTAGTGTTTAAAAAATATAGACTAAAAAATATTTTTTAAAATTAAATTTCTACAGCAATCTTCTGCTTTTATGAAGTGAAATCGATATATTAAGGTTTCTTAGACTAAACACTTTAAGAAATAAACATTTATTTAATACAATTCGACATGAGTAAACTAGCCTATTATGCAATATTATGCTCGGGAGAATAACGTCCAGCGTCCAGTGTATAATGCGATTCAACTAAGAATAGGATCGACTGGGCGCCATATTTTGACGTCATAGCTGCCAATTCAAACCAAATAGGTAGAGTGAGCAAAAAAAAGTTTCTATTTAATAAAACTTATTTACTTAGATTAAGTGACAAAAAACATCAGAGTTTTTAATAAAATTAATTTACTAAGATTGAGAGAAAAAGCAACCGATTTTTAATAATATTTCTATATTAAGATGGTGTGAGAAAAAACATTAATCAGAATCTAGCTCTTCAATTTCGCTCATCTCTGCATTACCGCGGGAGTAGTAATGAATAATCATGCAGGTCACATACGAACATGCATCCTATAAGTAAACGAAAGTTTGAAATCGAGTTTCTGAAAGCAACATAAAGTGACATTTGGTTGACGATTTAGGTTATCAACCATTCATAGCCAAAGCTTAATGAATGAAAAAAATATCAACCAATATTAATTATTTATATTTGTTATTGATTGTTTAAAAATGTTTAATTTTTATTTTTTGAATTAGCCGAGTGCTCAGTGTTCCGAGATTTTTTTGCAAACTGTACTTTTCAAGAGACATTTGACAGATGGAGGTCATTGGGTTTTCTATTCTTATTTGAATCACACTTTAAATAACCGAAGGCTTGCAGTTAAAGTTGCCAGGCGTCCGGATCAAGCCGGACATAGTTAGGTTTTTTGATTGCGTGTCCGGCCAAAATAAACGGTGTCCGGCTTATGTTACGCTTTTTACATTTCGCAAACAAGCGAGCGCAAGCGAGTCGACTGTCGGTCGTTTTTACATAAAATTTTTGTTGTACCTTATATTACTGAGCCACAAAATCCTCAATAATGTAGGGTGTCCGGCCTTTTTACCCAAATATCCGGCCAAACTGGCTGGTCTGTCCGGTTATTAGGTTTGACGACCTGCCAGCCCGCAGCGACGGTACAACAACACTTGCGACTGCGACCAAGAGATTACCACTGGTAATAACGATGTTAAGAAGAATTGCAAGCTCAGGATCCTTAACATAGTGAAAGATGATTGATTACAATATGTAGTAACTACAATTCTGTTATTCTTCTTAATACCTATTATATCATTTAACCTAAAGTTATAACTTATTAAATTGTATAGGAAAACTTTTGTTTTTTGTTCTATATCACTTTGGTCCCAGTCATTCAAGTATTAGTATAATCGTATTTACAGTTCAGTCCTGAGGTACTACAGCAAAGTTTGGGGACCTTGGTCTTCAAATGATTATTGTTTAAATTCAATATAATAACATTATTGCTAGATTATATAAATATCTGTATAAATAGATTTTGATTGCATCTTAATAGGAATTAAAGTTAGACAATCAGAGAGGTATTGTTTAATCTCTATGGAAATATGTAATTCTAGTGTTCTTACAGACTTCAATATTATTTTAACAAAATGTGGTATGTTATACACTGCATAGAATGATTGGTGTTTTTGGAGTTAACCCTAGAACACATAATAATATCATATATGTATCTCAGAGATCATTAAGCACATGGCAAGTCATGCACTCATTTTCCCCTTCTAGGTAATTACCAGGCTATCCCAAACAAAAAGTCAATAAATAAAACATAATTCTTATAAGAAAGGAATCTTAAATTAGAAATAGATGTTTATTAAAAAATAATATGAGAAAACATTACATATTTATTACAATGAAACACTTTTTCACAATATTCCAAGTGACCTCTCAACCATGGCATGAGGCTGTCCTGCTATTTCACAGACATCTGGAGTATTAAGAATGTCCTCAAAGCCAATGTCCAAATATCTACCTGTGAGAACATCATGCTGCAAGTTGGAGCTCGGAAGGAATGGTAAGCGGCCCACCTGGAAGAGTTGATGTTAATAAATTTAAGAATATAGTATTATTTCCATATGCCCAATTATTTTCAATTAGCGGCCGCCTGTGACTTCATCCAGTTAACTTAAAATTTATGCATTTTTAACATAACAACTATCTATTAAGTATTAGAAAATCACATGTTTATAAAAAATCCTATTTGTGAATTTAACAATCTCTTATTTCATTCCTAGTAGAGCTTGATAAGATATACTGCTGTCAAATGTACAAAAAGCAACAAAATTGCCATGTGATGTACTAGCATTAGGTATGCAAGCTTTACAATGGATATAGTGAACCACAGTTCTAAAGGAATAAAGTCATATTCACTAACTTGATGCTATTGATTATAGAAATTAGTGGCATACTTTAACATACCTTGTTTGCAAATTTCATCTCCATGGTAAGTTTTAGAGGGGCATGCAGACCTTGAATATTACGGAGCATGGCCATATTCATTTTCTCTTCATTTAAATGATACTGAAATAAAAAATATATACCTGAATAAAAATTGAAATCAATTGCAGTTGAATAAATATAATTTTAGTATGTTGTGTCACAAAGATTGGTAGTAAGCTTAAAATCTAACAATTTGAACTTTTAGACTTTTAGATTTTGATAAATATTCTCATGCTTAAATGTAAAGAGAATATCACTAGAAAAAAATCCACATGGACCAGGAAGCAGACACACTTGAAACCGTACCCTTCGCTATCCAGGCTATATAATTTTTATGTTTTAAGCATGTAAGTGTGCGGTTTCGAGTACAGTCTGTTGCCTGGTGTGCATGGTTTTTTTTTTAGCAATATTTTTTTAGATATTAACATCGAGCAGATACATGCTTAAAAATTATAACTATACTAACTATTATTATGTTCTTATCAACAATATGACTTAATCATTGTTGTACAACAAAAACACAGGATTTTTGTTTATGATAATATTAATTGCCTCAGTTTTTCATCTGCGACAATCAATCGTGTGTAGAAATTATTGTACTAATAGAAAATTATTAACCTATTTTTGCAGACGAAAAACTGAGTTGACTTAGTTTTTGGGGAAGGGGGGAAGGTCCCTTTTTCATCCAAACCTACTCTCCACCAAAGCAACCGCATATTTTCAGGGATATTTCAAGTGCTAGTACAATACTCACATTTCTTTCAGATGTTTCAATAGGATGCGAGGTACTGATTTTTGGTTTTGTTGCTGCAATTCCTGCAACCATTGGATCAGGGATTCCAAAAGGACCTTCTTGGCTTTTGATATTGCAAGCATTTTCAGGTTTTACTTTCAAGGAGGGCAATCCAAAACTCTGGAAAAAAATAACCAAATTATTTTAAGTTCATTCGTAATTATCACTAACATAAATGTAAATTAACCAACCATGATGACGATTTCTCACAAAAACCTTTAAAATAATAATCTAATACCACTTATTTACAAAGATTTTGAAACCCTTAAAATTATTGCGAACACCGCGCTTGGTTAAATTTCACGATTGTAGAATTTTGTATTGTCATTCTCTCTCTTTGAAGCCGGAATGGAATAGGGATGCCCGATCTGAATTATATTTTGGAAAATCGATTCCTGGTCATATGATCCATGGATATTTTAAGTCGATGTAATAGAATATGATTTTATTTCCAGATCAAATCGTATTGTAATCGTATGCCCAGAAGATCTTATGAAAAAATCGAATGACATGACATTAAGTATCCGAGCGAAACTGAAATATCAGCAATAGGGTTAAAAATATTATATTTGCAAGCACTAGCATGCGATGGTGAGGAATAGGACAGAAATCTTCTTTTAAATCTACTTTTCTGTTACATTTTAAGCGTTTTTTTATTCAAAGACCTACATAAAGATCAAACAAATTGGTTGGTTGACACCATTTTGTGAAAATTTAAAAAGTATTAATATCTTACAAAAAACGAATGCATCAATAAATGACCTCCCCAAACAGACAGGGAAAAGAATTAAAAATATTAATTAGTTTCTCATTTGGTTATTGGTATGGATTTATAAGCCCTTGACATAATAGAAAAAATAACAAAAAACTATATTAAAAATTTCTGTCAGTAGGGAAAATTAGAATTGCTTTAATTATACTGGTAAAAATTTGCTAGATTAGGTTTTATTGTTTTTAGTACGTTAAATAGAAAGTTTTGCACCTTCATTGCGCCTTATTTCAAATTTTACAGTAAAATCGGTTTGAGTTTTAGAGTTTTCAGAGTCATATTCAATTCCATACGATTCAGGTCATGAATCGATACGATCTTTCGAAACGATTCCAAATATCGGGCATCCCTAGAATGGAGATGCCAATGTCGGTAAATGTCATTAACAGTTTTTTTTATTTTCTTCCTATTATGGGAAGGCAAAAGAAAAAAAGCTCATACAGCCTACTTTTTGTAATATTCTGTTTTTTTAGACAACGAAAGCTATAAGGAAAGGAACTAAGCCCAAACAGCTTCGTATATAGTATTTTTATTTTTACTTTTCTAATTGGAATGCGTGTGTGATTTGTTATGGTTTTGGAACGTTTGGCATTAAATGTACTAAGTCAGCTTTCTTGATAATTTCCTGTGAGGTAGACAGCACTGCACTTTTTTTGACTAAAATCCTCCAAAACCATGCCAAAACCCAAAAATCAACTTTTATGAAACCATGAAGGTAAGATTTCGCTACGTCAAACGTCACAATATGATAAAAGTCTATGCGACGTACTTATTATTGTTTCAATTTCTTTTAGTTCTGTATTAGTGTCCTTTCTTGGGTAAAATTTTCCACAAAATGGCTAATCGAGGTGGCGGCGGTAGTGGTAAAAAAGAAATGGTAGGTAATAATAATGCATACGTAGTTATAAGTAGATTTCAAATATAACTTCCTTCAAATAGGTAGTTAAACATAGTGTAGGGTAGGAACCTCAACTATTCGTTGCCATAGTGTGTAGGGCCAGTAGTAGTGGTAGCGGCCACTACTACTGGCCCTAGAAGCTAAGTGGCAGCCACTCGATTTTTCCCGATTCGATTGGTGGTAACGTCTAGTGGCATGACTGAGCCAGATTGGTTGCGTTTAGTGGCTCAATATGCGCTTGCTCAAAGAGTATTACGGTGGAATCACAACACCTTCAAGTAGGTAGTAGTAAAGTGTTTCAGACAGTGGGTAAGAGTTGTAGGCTAGGAGTAGTTCTAGGGAGTAGGGGATGGTACAGATGGTAGGCAAAGCGTGAGTGATATTCAGAAGCCCAAGCTCGAATTTTAACAGCTCCGTAACTGTATCGCGTCGTCAAAGTTTATATGAAAACTAAGCAGCGTCCCTACCGGACGTAAGAACAAACTCCCTACTTCCATACAAAATTTGACGTTGAAGATATGATTGCAGAGCTATCAAAATTCATGCTTGGCCTTCTGATTGGTGTCGCAGATGGCTATATTAGGTAGTTTAGAGGCTATGAGTCGAGTATCATGAAATAGACCATGCTTGTTTGCCATTCTTTTGCCAACCAAAAATCTTAAAAATGGTTTTTATGGAAGTACATGGTGATACATGGAAGTGTAGGCAGTACTCGCGGGTTGTGTCAGTTTAGTTCAGTTCAAGAACAATAAATTGTGGAGTAGATAAGTAGATTATAAAGAAGTCGAGGAAAACTTAGCTGCTTTTATATTGTTTTAAACTTTCATAGTCACTAACATTATATATAATATCGGAAACTCGCTAAAAACAAGGTACATGGTTGTAATACCTACAAAATTTGCTGCACTTCTTTTAAGTTGTATTGTATGACACTTATTATTCCGTGTGGTCTCTTTCTATCTGAAAGTGTTTTTTTTGATATCTAGGTATTTCCTAATAGTAATCAGTCAGACAATATTTTGAAGCCGTAATGTTACCTACCAATTAAGTTTCTTACCCGTAGCATAACCACTAGTAGCACCTTAGAGAACTGTTATTCCCTTCAGCACTACCAGTTCAAGCCATAGGTCCCTATGATATATTTATAATCTGTAGTGTCATTCGGTTGTGCTGCCGGTAAGAAACGACCTATTGCTAGGATCCAGAGGAGCTGATGCGGCGTAAATTTCATGCGAAATGCTTATTTCGCGCTTTGGGGCGTCTGGTCATGGCAAACACATATTGGCTAATAGAAGCTGTTGACCATTACGAAGGCGTAGAAGACGTGAAACGAAGAGTGGAACAAGCAGTCCGAGGGAAAGCCAAGAAGAAACAGCTGCTCAGTATTACTGTTAGAATTTAAAAAAATAATTTGCATTCATAATTTTGTACGTCATCGTTCATTAGATAATTTACATGCTAAAGCACATTGCTCTTTAAAGCCACCTGGCACACGACCAGAATCGCCTAGTCTGATGTGGACAGCTATGTCTATATACTTTAATGAACATGCGCTCATTACTACATTCCAAATCGCCTCGCTCACAGGCGGACCAGAGACCACCCACGATAACAAAGAGCGGTCTTTGGATCTTTGAGTTTTTGATCAACTATGACGGCGAATAGCCCATTTGGTGGCAACCTACTGCTCCTAACCTATGCATGTCCCAACTGCTGGAGCACAGTCCTTCTCCATGTATGGAACAGAGAGATTGTGCTATGATTTGACCCATCGTGCGACTTCAGTGCAGATTGGTGGGAACAAACGATTGCAGATGAAGCCGGGACCAACGGCTTAATCTGCCTTTCAAAACACAGAGGAGCTTGAGATAATACATTTTTGGTCACCCATCCAATGACTAGGGCATTGCGAAAGGAGCTTAATTTCCGTGATCATAGACCGAATACGCTAACCACTTGCGACATGGAGCTCGTACTCATGAAGCACAGTAAAAAAATTAAACCTAAATTCAAATTGATTTCCTTTAATTGTTTATCAAAGTGGATTTCCTAATTCCTATTTAGTTGTCCCGCCTGTAGTTTACCATTTTTTAAATGTATCCTTTACTATCCTTTTTTTTCTTATTACACAACGCTTGTTTGCTTGCCACCTAGTCGTTTATTTAACAGGATAAAGCGCTTTTGAATAAACCAGCAGAAGAAAGGACAGAACAGGAGAAAAAATATATCTACCGCATTATTGGTGGTCTCAAATGTTTCAAACGTTATCCAAATGTAAGTAAGGAAACCAAATAACATTCATTTCTTTATTTGAAAAAAAGTGTTTTTTTTTATTGTATCTTGTATTTCAGTACGTGAAGAAGAAACTGGCCGCTGTAACGTATTTCAAATACTACAGTCCCGGTCGCTTGATAGTTCGCCAGCACCACGAAGCTCACGCGCTCTATTTCATCATTACCGGCGACCTTATAGTCAGCCAGCTGGTGTACGACGAGCTACTCCAACAGTACGTCACGGTGGACGTCGGAGTTTTGCACCCAGGGGATATGTTTGGTGAAGTGTCTTTGCTGCATAACATACCGAGGACTGCAACGGTTACTACAACTGGTTAGAAAATGATTACTTACCTGTTTTTATCTCATGTCATTATGTGGGATGGTTAACGACAGAAAAACTTTGAATTCCAAAGTAAAGAACTATTGTGTGCAGATAATAAATAGTAAGGGAGCCCAAGCAGGGATTTTTGGATATACTTAAGCGCGGCAGAATAGCATAAGGGGGCAAACTTGCATGCACCTTGTGTAAGTGAATGTAAAGCGTTGGTTGCAACATCAGCATTATGCTGAGTTGGGACCGATTTGAGTCAAAATATTTTTTTTAGATGTGTGTGTTTTGGTTATATATTCTTTTATTGTTGTTTTGCCTTATTTTTTTTCTTTTCTTTTCTTGCTTGTGAAGTACTATCATCATACCTGAGCCATTATAACCCTTTGTATGGCCACCCCCAAACCTTGCCGGCAGATCAATATTTTTCCGTCATCACATACATTACGTGAACCCTCCAGTAGCTCCTATTCAAAACACTGACGATATGGATGCGACCGAAAGACATGGTTGTTTGTAAAAAATCTTTTTTGTTGCCCTAGACGTTCGGCTCTACATGGATGGCTCAGGTATGATGATAGTACTTCACAAGCAAGGAAAGAAAAGAAAAAAAATAAGGCAAAACAACAATAAAAGAATATATAAACAAAACACACACATCTAAAAAAAATATTTTGACTCAAATCGGTCCCAACTCAGCATAATTCAAAAAACTGACGATTTGGACGCAAAAAAAGACATGGCAATTTTTTGTACTGCACAAGATGTAAGATTCCCCCCTTGTGTTATTCTGATGCGCTCGAGTAAATCCAAAAAACTCCGCTTTTGCTCACCTACGGGGATGGTACCTATAGTACTATTAAGCTACTCTGAGCTATAAATTGCAATTAATTTACTTAAAATATAATCTTTGAAAATCTGAATCAATTAAGTTGAAAGTTTGATATTACATTACATTAGATATTGTACCAACCTATGGTATGAGCTATAATTGCAATTAATTTACTTAAAATATACTCTTTGAAAATCTGAATCAATGAAGTTGAAAGTTTGATATTACATTACATTAGATATTTTACCAACTTCTGGTATAATATTTAATGTAGGTGTAATATTAATATCTTCAAAATTAAAATGTAAAATTTGAATGATTTTATATACTTGGGTACGAAAAATTTAAAGCCTCGAAGGAGTTTATGAGAGAATAAGTTTATCGCAGGTTTCTTTTAGGACACTTGTTGATTATGACAGAATACCTAGTGTATTGTGTAAATGAATAAGTCCAAACAGGAGGAAAGCAGCTGCAGTTAATTCAAACTCTTATAAAATAAATTAATGAGAAACAATGGCAGCTATGTTATATATATTAAATTATAGTAATAATATGTGAAAGGATATCACATTGTCATTCAGGGCACTGAAAAGTAAATATGATGAATGGATGGAACATACACGGTAACAGCCAAATAAATTGGGAGGGAGATCCCTCATGAGTTCATGACATTATCATATGATATCAGAGACACACCACACAATTAAAAGAAAACTTACGCGTCAATTCTACCTACTTTTGTTTATAAATGTAAAGAAAATTATAGTTAAGGTCACCCGGGGCAATTGTAGCTAGGGGGTATGAACTTCAAATAACTTGTTATTGTTTTGTTTTTAAAATAAGTTACATCTGTTGTTCTATAGAGCAAATGTTACTCAACAAGTCTACAAAGTCATAGAGCCACCTTCCAACTCCATCATCAGACTAGTTACATGGTACCATATTATATTGCATTGCACCAAAACACGTTTAGCTAAATGTAGAATCCGTTTTAGATGATTTATATACATAACTATATCTAAAAAAAAATACTAGAAATGAACCAGCTTGACACCTGGCCTAAGTCGATTTTGTTTCTAGTGAGGTTACGCATTACATACATACATTACATAACATTTTATGTTATAAAGTATTGTTTTAAAACATTAACAAAGATGACCCAAATATGAGCTGCCGCAACAGTATTTCTTTGATCGATCAAGCTATGTAGCTTAGTAACTCTTACACTTTCCAACATTAACTCAGTAAAGTAGCCGTATATCTGTCTCAAGAAGTTTTTATTATTTTTAATAGGACATTGTGAATTGCTGGCACTGATGAAAGAAGATTTTAAGAATGTTCTCCAGGCATCTGTTCAGAAACAGTGGGACGAGGTTAAAGAAGCAATGTCGGCTTTCACCTATTTCGATGCACTAGATGAGGTGATAAAAGCGTTGAAATCTTATAAAAAGTGAAAATAAGTTTTTCTTGTGCAAGTGCGTGTAGAATTACCTATAATAAAAGTATAATCATACTCATTATAGTAGATCTCTGAAAAGTTTCCTCGCGTGCGATTTGGATATCCTACGATATGGAGAAATATTTATGTCTAACTAGCCTGCACCCGCGGCTTCACCTGTAATGTAATGTATAGTTAGTTTGTTGAAATTCCCACAGGAAGCCAACATTTGCATATGTCTATATAATACCATACCACCACACAATTTCAATTAGACAAGCCATATTAAAAATAAAATTAGGGGTTTTTGTTGTGGGAAGTAGAGGTATCGTAATGCTAATAGAGAGCATGATGCCGTTTGCCGTCACATTTCGGTTTATAAGTCGGTTTTATTGCAAAGGCTTGCCAAAGATGTCTCGCGCAAATCATTAACTTGCTTCTTTTAAATTAGTTTATGAAATATCTTTACCTACTTTTAAACGTTTGTTCGTAGTCAGAGTATGACAAAAACGGTGTTGGTTAATTAAATTGAAAGTATTTTAATTATCAGGTCGCCAGACGTGAAGGTTGCATCGTAGCCAAGATGAAAAGTTACGAACCAAATGAGACTCTCCTCGGCGATGGGGTGGGAGTAGCAAATTTCGTCTACTTCATTTTATCGGGTCGTTGTCAGATGATTGAGTCCATCCAAGTTGTCGTCACTACCCATTTAGGAAAGAATTATTACAGTCTATACGACCCTTATGTAAGTTGTCTGTTTCATGAGATATTTAAAGCAAACGGCAACCGCCATTTTGTTTAAGTCTATGTATTGTTATTAAGGTGCCGGAAAAAGAAAGCGATCAGGATTTCGACGCCAAATACTTTGGTGCATACAAGAATTTGAACAAAGAGTCCGAAGATACGGCAGATCAAGGAAGTCTTGAAAAAGGCACGACGAAAATAAATATTTTGCCTGCATTGTCAGGAGGACGATCAAGCAGTTTAAAGAGAAGAAAGTCAGTCAGTATAAAAGAACATGATAAAATTTTCGAAAATGCAAAGGAAGAGAAACGGCAGAGTGATAACAGTGGGAACGTACTACCATTGTCTGACAACTCTGAAGTACTGATGGTGGGATCCACGGACCAAACTCGCGAATCAATTAGGTACAACATAAAAAATATTGTTATGCGACTCAAAAACTTTGCTAATGACGGACTTTTGTTGCAGATTGAGTATCCAACAGGAAGAAGTTCCATCACGTCCACCAAACCTAAAAACTTATTTCATGCAGGTCTTAGTTTTTTTCTTTGCACTACCTGTAGTTAAAGACCAAAATAGAAGGATTTTTGCAATTTATATTTAGTTTATAAGTAGATAGATTGGCTGCTGCAGAGGAACACCGCTAATATTTGGACCCGTATACAGCACGTAACTGACCTATTAATTGTTCGTTCATCAGTTACTTCTTAATTTTGCTGCTGGTAAGTATTTAGGAGTATTCATAAAATCTTTAATCTTGCAATTAGTACTTACTAGATGTCCAGAGAGTAGAATTTGGGATAAAGTGAGTCTTTTCTATGTCAAAAGTGTGGCAAACAAGTGTATACCTGCCCAAAGGTAATCGGCTGCCATAGACTATACCAAAACTTTCACTTTTGCTGTTGCCTACATTGCCCCAGCCCCTACCCCGTGAAGCCCTGGAACCTAACTTACCGATAGAAAGACACCACCAAATGGTAATATTTCACTGTGGTCTTCTGTAAATGGAGATTACATCTCCAGACGGGCGCCCTACCTAATATATTAACACAATAGTTTTATTAAGTATGAAACTTAAGAATTGTTATTAATCTCGTTTTGTTTAGTTTCTTATTAAAGAGCTTGTTAGGTATGTCAGATGAACCCCGGCTTCAGTTTTGGTTTCGGGGAGAACATGCGTGACAGGCGGGTCGTCGCTCTCACCAATGTCGATTGCATGCTGATGCCCAAGATTTGGCTGCTGCAGAGGAACACAGCTAATATTTGGACCCGTATACAGCACTATCTAGAAAAGAAGGTACGTTACTACTTGCTTTTGCGGCCATTCGTAAAAGGGTGCCGCAACATCACCCGCGCTCCCGACATGCATTAGGGGGACCTCTGTCCTCAGAATGCGTATCGGGTGATAGGTGCAGGAGTATTGTCTGGTTTTGACTGGGTAGGACACTGTGCCGCTTCGTCCAGCGTACAACGCTCGGCGAAGTGGACAGGGTCCTCAGATACCTTTTTGGCTCCCTCGGTGCCTGAAGGATGCGTAAAAGGACATTTCCCAGACATTAAAAAACGAGGTTACTATTTGTTTACTATTGGGCGTCGTCAAAACAGAACTACAATATAAACTGTGGGTTAGGATACCTAATTCGTTTGCGTCTTATGCCGAATGACGTTTAGGGGAGCGGGGGGCACGTTGTTACATTTTTTAGATAGTTATTAATAAGAAAAAAGGTTTCTTAGGTTTTCACGCACATCACTCATTAAATAAAACTAGTTTTTACGGGTTAATGCACGAAACTTTATTTATTTATTGACGTTTCGCAGCCTTTTCAGGTCTGCATCGTCAGAATAATGATTTTATTTAAAATTGTCGAGCTACCTTCGAAAGAAGTCGATCTCTATTTTTAATAAAATCATTATTCTGACGATGCAGACCTGAAAAGGCTGCGAAACGTCAATAAATAAATAAAGTTTCGTGCATTAACCCGTAAAAACTAGTTTTAAGAAAAAAGGTATCAAATAAATTATACATTTGATTACTTGTAATGTTAATATGTCTATATAGCCATTAAAATATGACTGAAAAGACATTAAATTTTATGTAATTTTTCCCAATGGAGAATTTAACTAAACAAGTAGATTGTAACATCTTACCCCGGAATTGGAGCTATAGTTGTTAACATCATCGGGGCACGATGTTACGGTAGATAAATAAACAAAATCATCAGTCATATATATTTTTTTATTAATATTTCAAAACGATATAAAAAATAGAGATCACTTTATACAGTCTTCTAACATTTATGAGTAATTATAATATCTATTATGGCAATTATTTAAGTTTTTTTTTGTAGAAAATCACTGACAGGAACATTTTTAAATCTTATATAACAACATAGACCTAGTCTGCAAATAATAACTTGTAGTAATTAAATTATTCACTTTCACTTCTTAATTAGTTATTTTAATAAACTTTTGGCAAACTAAAATACTTTGGATTCTAAAATTTTTAAGGCACTTAGATTATAGAAAGATATATAGTAACAACTTACCCCAAACAATTGTAACTACTTGCCCCATGGCACGTTTTTTAATATAAATTGAAGTCATTTTTAATGAGTATCGATAGTAGAATAAAACAATACTGTGAAGTAAAGGTAAAAAATTTTTGACAAAATACAAAAATATAGTCATCAGGAATCAAAAATTTCGTTAAGGATGTTTTTACTTACTTGGTTGAAATCGGGACACACGCACACAACCTAGCAGCTCAGCGCTTGGTGGGTCACGGATTGTTTTTATTTAATGCACGATGTTATAAGAAAACAAATGAGTCCAATTATGTCCATCAAAGAGCTTAAAATCCCGGTAAAAACGCGTGTAACTTCTTACCCCTGTAACAACGTGCCCCCCGCTCCCCTACACGAGTGAACCAGTGGTCGACGATTGCGTTTTAGTTTTTAGTATAATCGATGTTTCAAAGGTTTTCAGCAAAATATTTAAACTGATTGCTTTATGTTCACTCTATTTTTAGGGTTTCGTACCTCAAAAGGAAAAAAACCAAACTTTTATAGGATCGCTTTGTTTGTCAAGCAAGAACATTTATTTTTAGGACGCGTGGAGGTATCGAGTTGAAATTAAAAGCAAATACTCAGGTCTATGGTCCCTTGAAGTCGTGAAAAAATCAAACTTCTAAGTTAACGGAAAACAATTTGTAATATGCTTCTTATCTACTAATTTGTACAGAACCCTCGGTGAGTGAGTCCGACGTACGATGTTACAGTACTGACGACTGCGAGGGCTCTTTCAAAGCACTGGACACTGTAAAAGAAAAATACATTAGTGGGAGTAGAATTAAAGGAGACTTCTTATTACATAACTTGTACAAACTTTATGTTAGTCATTAATATTTTAAAACATATGTATTTACCTATCTTACTGCAGTTTAATCATTATTGAAACTAACCGTAAGAGATATACAGTGGTGGTCACATAATTAAAGACACTCCCTAATTGACCACAAAAAACTTATTTATGGTACTAAAAGTAGCAAAAATTTGTATTTAATCTAGTGTAATTGTTATTAAACTATACACGACGTTGTATTCTTACAATGTGGGACAAAAAATAGTTGTGCTCGTTAGTAGTTTAGATACTGCTCACTAGAGGAACATAACACAAACTTTTTAAACGTACTTGTAGCTGGCCAGCTAATTAAAGACAGTAAAAGCTGTTTTCTGAATTAAAAAAAAAAATGTTTGTGTCAGCTCCGACGCACGACTGGAGTTTACTCCTTAAGTTCGATAGTCTAACCAGACGCAAAAACAGTTTATTTAACTTAAAAAAGATTGATACTGTATGAAAGGGTAAATTAACAAATTAATGAAAATAATATACATATATAAATATATATTTATTCATTTCATATATATTTATTATAAATAATCGACGAAATATTTTACATTAAACTTTTTACAATAGTCAATTTCAGATGTGCATAAATATATCATTAGGAATGTTGATAAATTATGTAATTATTATTATCAGACTATTATCATTTTTTTAAATATTGATTAAATCATCATTGTCTGCATTATTAATTACAGTGACAAGTGGTTTATGGTAAATATAATAAGACATATGGAAGTTCGTAGATACGTGGTTCACGAATCTTGAAAATACCGCATCAATGGTTGTACCATACCTCGATGTCCCCATTGTTCTATCAGAAACAATATCTAAATTCGGTTCAGATTTAAAAAAAAAATATTAATGTCAATCTGTCATCTTTGTTTGTCAAAGTTGCGCGACATAGGATGTGTATACGCCATTTGTGCATTTAAAATTTTAGTTCATATGTATCAAAATAGATGGCGCTGTAGTTCGTTGCATCACGCTTGTAAATATATTTGGAGCTACATAAAGGGAAAACGTCACCTACCTAATAAAGAAATCTATGGTGTAACAAAATACGCTTTTGTTTCAATTTAATTCTTTTGCACCTAAGCTCTCGGATTTAAGTCATTTTGGCTCGAACCCTTATATATGCAAATCGATTCTTAAGGAGTAAACTCCAAAAGAAAAAACTGCATTCTGTTTTTCTTTGTTTTGCCGCGTATTTTCATGAAACGTCGATATTAGATATAAAACCTATTTTTTTAATTAAATTTAATATGTTTTAAACCCAGCAATATGGGGAAAAAAAGAGTTGCGATTCGTCCACTAGGAAGATTATTTTCCACTATAATAAAGATTGGTCATACAGAAAAATAGCAAACCACTTGAACTGTTCTAAGGACATGGTTATGAATGCTTCTTGAAATGTTTCAAGAAGATCAACACGACCGAAAACATACCAAGAAAATCGAGACCAAGAAAAACTACTCTGCGGGAAGACTCTAAGATGGTGTTATGATGGTGTGATGTGTATGTTGGCAAAAAAAGATCCGTTCAGGGGATCAGAACTGATACGTTCGGAGTTGTTTGGTGCAGGAGGGTCGAAGGATATGTCTGCAACAACAATCAGACAGAGACTGTTAGGCAAACTTGTACGGAAGATTGTCTCGGAAGGTGCCACTTTCGAAAAAGCAAAATGTTAAGGCAATATTAGCATTTTCTAAAAAATATGTACACTGGACTGAACGAGAATGAAAACATGTGCTTTTCTCTGATGAAACTCAAATTAATATGATTAATTCTGTCGGAAAACTATATGTTAGACGCCCCCCGAACAAAGAAATGGATCCAATGTATACGAAGAAAGTAGTTAAACATGAGGGCGGAAATATCAAAATTTGGGGTTATTTCTCAGGACTTGGTGTTCGACCTGTCAGGAAAATAGAAGGCAACATGGATAAATTTCAGTAAAAGAATATTTTAGAACAAGCTATGCTGCCCTATGCTGCGCAAAATTTACCGTTCATTTGGACTTTCCAACAGGATAATGATCCGAAACACAGTGCAAAAGGAATAAAAGACTTTTTAAGGAACCAGTCTGTGACAGTTTTGGATTGCCCCCCGTACAGTCCAGATTGAAACCCAATAGAAAATTTGTGGTACCAGGTGAAGAAGACAGTGGCGACAAAATGGACATCAAACATCGATCAACTTTACACAGCTTTTAGAGAAGCTTGGAAGCAAATTTCGGTGGAAGCTTGTAAAAAATTGATCGCTTCCATGCCCAAGAGATGTCGTGCTGTCATTTCTGCCAAAGGACATGCGACCAAATATTGATACGTCCCGGAAAGTTTTATAAATGTGTTAGGAATATTGTGTAATAAAGATAATTTCAATAATAACAATATTTTTTTCCTATTTCTTCTAAGCAAATCGAGTGTCTTTAATTAGCTGGCCAGCTATAAATACGTTATAAAAGTTTGTGTTACGTTCCCATAGTGAGCAGTGTCTAAACTATTAACGAACACAACTATTTTTTGTCCCACATTGTAAGAATACAACGTCGTGTATGGTTTAATAACAATTAAACTGGATTAAATACCAATTTTAGCTAATTTTAGTACCATAAGTAAGTTTTTTGTGGTTAATAAGGGGGTGTCTTTAATTATGTGACCAACACTGTATATAAGAAATTTGTGACTATTTTTATTATTTAGATTACAATTAACTATTATAATGCTAAGAAACGAATCAAGATTATCCATACCTTTTACTGGAGAAAGATTTATTGAAACTGCCTGTAATGAACTGTTACAGATACCGACCAAGAAGCAGCTGTTTACAGAGTTTGTCTCACAAAGACGCTGGCAAGTGTACCGCGAAGAGATGGTCACGGACGTGGTCTCACGCTCCAACGCTGTCAACTGGACCTCGGTGCATGACGTACCTTATTCCATCAGGATGGAGGAAATGCTCGATTTTTGAGTTTTTTTTATGGTTGTACCTACATATATATTGCATTTAAAAAAATCTATAAAGACGATAATGTTGTTTTTTTGCATGGCTTTATTAAAATGTTTGCTTACAAAAGCCATCTGTCTTATTTTTTATCTATGGTGAGATATTTCTAGGAATAAGGGCCCGCGCTGCGTCAAGCGGGAGTACGCAGTGGACGTCCGTCGCGAAGATCCACTCCGTGCTCCGCCGCAGAACCCGCGACGGACACTCGCTTCTCGCACCTATACAATTATCATCGCGCGAGTGAAAATTATATTTGTTGATAATACTACCTAGCCAAAAAACATAAATCTGCCAGCGTCCGCTCCGTGCTCCAGCTTTACCCGCAGCGCACGCTCTAAATGTGCATCTAAGAGTTCCTATGTATCTAATGTTAGGCTAGTAGTGAGAAATAGAACAACATAATACAACATATAACGTTATATAGCGAAGGAGCGTGGGTCCGTGGTAAACACCAATGTTTTACTTACATAGTTTTAAGAAAGCGTCTGGATTAAAAGACGTTCTATATTGGTGTCGATTCTGATAATTATCTAAACTTAAACGAAATTTTACATCAGTCTCTTATTTTCATTCTGTATGTATCATGGAGGTTAGAAAGAAGATGAACGATCGCTACGTACTAAAGCATTAGCCCGCCTGTCCCTGGAAATTTGTAGAATTTAATAGTTCATTTTTCAGCCACCAGCCGCGCTGCCGTCGGTAAGTAGTATCTGTGGAGTTAGCTGTTTATGAATACAAGTAAATGGAGTTTGTTGAATATTGTACAAATTTTCTTCGCTGCATTGGTCATTTCAAATTAACCCGCTTTTATTGAGACAACTTAGCGATCACAGCGCCTCACTTATTTTGCCTAAATTTCTGGGACACTATTTTCTACAGAGATAGTTCTCCTTCTTTCTAACCTTCATGGTATGTATAGAGAATGATACGGATACACTCAAGGGCGGATCCAGAGGGAGGGTCATGGGGATCATGACCCCCCTGGGCTGGGTCCATCTGTACCCACTTCACAATCTGTACTTCACAATCTGTACCCACTGTGACTTGACCACGACTATATGACCCCCCTCTGGCGCCAAAGCTGGATCCGCCCTTGGATACACTGTTGTAAATTTTAAGTTTAGGTTTAGAGAATCATGCCAGAATCGACATCAATATCATGTGTATTTTTTTAAACTACCCATATTTTAACTTACTGACTTAAAATACTAATATTCATTTATAATATAACTACCCTCCCATATAACTCAGTTATGAAATAATAAAATAGTTAGGAAATTACTACGGAAACGCACGCGGTGGAATTAAATATTCTCAGATTACGTTGTTTTGTAATGAAAATGATTTTTTATAAAGAAAAGACTTTTGAGAAGAGAGCTCTGGGTCCATCTCTTAATCGGATCGAGCGAGCAAAACAGACTAAAGTCCGCTGTGTGCGTTGCGGCCGGCGCCTTCTTTCATGAGTCTTATTTTTTTCAGTGACATCCCCCGTACTGTTGTCCAGACCAGTCTCTCGATTTGTTTATTCGGGGGACTTCTTGTATGCGGGACTTTTGATCCCACGTGTGCGTTCCTCGATGCAGTTGTAAGCGATCTATTGAGGCGGATAAAAAAGGCCGCGGGTAAAAGTTTCTCGTCTGCGCAGGCCTTGAGAGCTTCAACAATAATTTTAAAGGAAGTAAAAATCAACCTATCGCGAAAAAGGGACATAGACTATTTCTATCAAGTAGTTTATAATGTAAAATTAATAGTCCTAGTGGATAACACACCGACTTAGTACTCCTAGGGTTATGGGTTCAATCCCTAGGGCACGTAAATACCACTGAAATATGGTTTCTATAATTTATATTCATGTCGCTGATGGATGACACTACCTTGTATACACATTTATGCGATTATAATTAATGTTATTTAATTATAATCACATAAATGTGTGTGGTCTGTAGATCTTAAGATCTACAGACCTGTGCATTCGGTTGAGGACTGTCATTTATTCCAGGAAGATCTTAATAGACTATCAGCCTACTGTACTAAGAATAAGCTTCGTTTTAGTATTCCAAAGTGTAGCTTTATTCACTTTACTAAAAATATTAATGTTGTTCACTTTAGCTATCGTCTTTGTAATGCAGAATTGGAGAACGTTGTAAAAATCAGAGATCTCGGCGTACAATTCGATAGTAAATTAAAAATGGACCAGCATATACAGAGTATCGTCAATAAGGCATTTAAAATGTACGGATTTGTTATGAGGTCCACGAAGGAATTTAAAATTGTATCAACCTATCTGAGCTTATACAAAGCGCTGATACGTTCACAACTTGAATACGCTGTAACTACATATTTGGAACCCCTTTTACAACAAATACAAGGAGGAGATCGAGAGAGTTCAACGTAAATATCTACGTGCTATGCATTACAGGTGTTTTCGGCGTTATTTGTCATATCCCCAGTTGCTAACCAAATATAATATGATGACTCTAGAGGATAGACGCAAATATCTAGAAGTTACAGTATTGCATGGCATTGTTAATAACGAATTTGATTGTAGTGGTATTACAAATAAAATAAGTTACAAAGTGCCTCGAACTGTTAACATCCGCAAGCTCAAAAATATTAATTTATTTGCCACTAAAATTTGTCCAACAAATACAGGGCTACGTTGCCCTCTACATAGAATGGCTGAAACTTACAATACTTTGTTTGCAGAAGTGGATATATTTTCAAAAACAAAATATAAATTTAGGTATGATGTTATTAAAATATTGCTTAAAGAGACATATCATCTATATTTATATGTATTAAACTCGCTTAGTGTAGTTATATTTTTTTTTATTTTTTGATGTAGTGATAAAATATATATAAAATATTACCGATTTGTTTATGAAAAATGTTTAATTACTTTTTGTTTGTAAAAATAAGGATTATAAGTGTTAAGTTTACTCTCACTAAATGTAACATCAGCAAGGCACTATTTTTATTTAATAATTTGTGGATAATATTGTGGGTTACAATATTACCTTAGATTTTACGTTACCATGGTACCACATATAATAGTCTTTAGTCATAAAACACAGATTGTAACCGTTTTTTAACCCTTAATAAAAAAAAATTAAGTACACATATTATTTGAAACTGACACAATCCGAATCTTGTAATCACAAATTGTTTTTTTTTCTTAACTATGTATGTAGTTAGTCTTAGATTATTTATGAAAAAGTTTGTAGCCTGAGAAATACTAGAGCAAATTCGAGACGGCCATTAGGGCAGCGGTAGCGTAATAGTGTGCGGGTTCGAGTCCCGTCTGCTGCCTGGTCCGCGTGGATTTTTTACCTGTAAAATTTTCTTTAGATTTAAACAACTAATAGTTCAATGCTTAAAAAATACTATTTTATTATTTATAATCACATCGCGGTAGGCAGCAGTAGTAGGCTATGTAATATTAACAACACTATACCTAAGTAGGTGCATAAAAATGTTTACGAACACATTAGTGGAATTGTATTTCAATTTGAGTAGACATGCTAATGTACGTAAGTATTTGTCTTTAGTTGAACTTGTAATGACCCATAAAAACGATAACTCAGTCGAGACAGATAACGTTTTAACTTTAAACTCTCGATTCGGTGAGCGACGCTGTGAAACTATGACATCCCTAATAAATATTTCCGAAATGAATAAATTGACTGGAGAGCAGTTCGAGCGGATGTTTGGTAATGTCATAGAATTGTGTATAGACGCAGCCTCTAAAGTTTATAAGAAAATACCACTTCGGAGCGTAGCGGAGCTTTGCGATGGATTCCATCAATATTTGGATGATCTCCCTATGGAAGGTAAGTACCTTCTTAATAATAGTTCATCTACTTACTGTAACAGCTATACTCAGAGATTTGAATTAACTTTTAAATTTACTGGAGTTATTGTTGTCACTTATTTTGCTATAATATACATATATATCTCAATTACACTTGGTCGTTAGCCCGTATTCGGGTGCACGAAAGACATTACTCGATTTATTCTTTACTAAAGAATACGGTTTTTTTTATATAGATAGGTCCGACAAATGACCACCGCACCTGATGTTAAGTGAAGTTGAAGTCCAGACGCGAAGATAGCTGATACAGCAGTTCTACCTGCCACAGCAGCCATCCTCACCCTGCCGGCCTGCATGTTGCTTCTTCACAAAACGAAAACTACCCGAATACGATCATACTCGACTCTGATCATTTACAATTTAGTTGTTTACCCGAATTCCATTGACACTCGTATTCGGGATAATGACCAAGTGTAATCGCGCCATAACGCTAAAATAATGCAACACGTAGGTAACTTTGTTTGACATTATATTTATATGACGTCTCTGCATGAGTACATCCGTATGTTTTCTTATGTGTGTATGTTACCTATTATCTTTGTGTAATTTTTCTTTGAAATTATTACGTGCACTAAAGAATTTACAGACGTAATATAAAATTGTTTCCCTAAATTGGTCACTAACATGGAGCAAAGCATTTGTACCGTCAGCTTGTACTTGTATCTAAAACACGCTGAGCTCACGATATACAGCTGACGCAGGTAAATATTAGTTTTGAAAATTAGTACTTATTTTAGATGTAAATACCAATGAAATATACCTAAAACACACTGGCTGTTTGTCACATTAATAACCAGTTGTGGGAGTGAACCGTTACACAAAATTTTGTGAGTGTCATTCACAGTGGTAAAAGAATAGAGTAAGGGAGATATAGACTCTAGTGGAAGTGTCCCTCTAATAGAAACAGAAAGAATATGAGAGACCGCTAGCTTTCTCTCTCTAATCGCGCATGCGCATTGGCACCGTAAGCATCTTACTATTTCGATGTGATGCCATTGGATGTCATGTGTCACAAGAGAGAGAGATAGCTAGCGGTCTCTCATCTTCGTTCTCTTTCTACTAGACGGACACTTTTAGAGCCGCCTTTCCTCACTCATGGTGTCATTAGTCAGATTTTCGTAGTCTTTAGGTAGGAAGATAAGAAACGAGGAATATTGATTTGATTGATAATATTGACATTGTTTATTGAATTTATTAGCTTTTGTTATTCTTTAGTATTAAACTGGTCCGATTGATAAATAGGCGTGCACGATATATTTTGTTATTTTTATATTAATTTTACATTGTAATTAAAATAAAATATATGCCAGAAATGGTAAATGTGCAGTACTAACCTGATATTGTCACCTTTATATTTGTATTCTAAAATTAGTTGATGCAATCAAAATTAAAGTAAATGGTTCACTAACTTGTTTTTGGTATTTCTTAACTCGGTATTAAGCAAATAGATTTTTTTCTCTGAAAATCTAGTAGCAATTTCAATTTCAGAATTTTACTCTGACGTATTTTTATGATAATAGGTAGTTATTGTATTCTTCAATAAAACCAAGGTGAGACAAAATGAGGGTATTTAACACACCGTGCAAGGTACAAGATTAGGTACTCCTTTTTAGCAGAATCGACATAATGGTCACTGGTAACCGTAGTTGCAGTGTCCGGTGACAGCTCAACTCAGTACAAATTGTAAGGAAGAAAAAAGAAATTCTAAGGAAATTTATTAATATTGCTTGTATCTACAACTGACCACTTTCCAGTTGCTTTTAGATGCACCGAATGTGCTTATCTGAACAC